TACCTAGCTGGGATCATTTGAGCTCAGTTTTCTTCTCCTGCCCTGGCAGGGGGTCAGACTTGAAGATCTATAAGGTCCCTTCCGACCCTACTTCTATGATTCTATGAATGTGCTGTGGTCCTGGGTGCACATTCAAACGGTGTGCCCAAGAGCAATAACTTCTGGCACAAATTGCACTGGAGTTTATTGCTTTGAATTAATTACATGTGTAGACATGCCCAGAATGGCATTATAACAGTTGCACAGCTGAAGTATAGTGTTCTTTCACTGACTGTAGTAACTGGTATAGTTCTAACATGTGCAGTATAGAATTTTTAAATGTTTATATATAATATTTGTGGGGGTACCCAAGAACCTTGAAAGCAGTGTGAGCCCAGTTTGCTATACAGTTTTCAAAAGCAAAAGGAAGAAAAAGATGCCAAAACTCCTTTAAAATGAGTCATTAACATCCTCAGCTGCATATTGTACCAGAAGCCAGGCTGAACTCTTGACCAGCAGAAGAAAACACACCTTAAAAAACACAACTACACACAGAAACTCTTATCTTTCTACTCGTATGGAAATGGGGACATGGATGGATTTGGGCTTAATGGTGGCTTTATTAGCATTTGCATATGAGAACAGATTTTAAACATTATTCCTCACCGTTTTTTGTTACGTTATATTGTGACTAAGTTGTACATGGTTTTTATAAGTCTGGAAAAATACATGGGTCTGTTTTAATTGAAGATAATGAATCTCCATGAACAGGGAAGTGTGTTAATTATTAAGGTTCTGATTAAAAGGCCATTAAAGTAAATAATTTTCCCACCACTTCAATGAACTTTGGATGAAACCCTATAATTGATACGTAATAGATATGATGATCAATGCTAAGTTAACTAGCTAGTTATATATTAATGTGTTTCTGGGAGGCAGAGAACAGTTGCCATAGAACTAAGCAGGTCAAATCTTCAGTCTTTTACAGATGGGTGGAACATGCTGCATATGGTAAAGGTTAGGTCAGTGCTAAAGAACTATACCCTTAAAATGCACACTGATCAAAGAAACAGAACCCCCATCCAGTTACATAACAAATGTAATATATTTCTTATAGCATAAGGGTTATATATAGTTAGTACTGGGGTGTGCAGATCAGAATATTTTATATTTATATTCACAATGGACTGGGGCATGATAGTAGAACTGTTAAGATGTCTTGCTTCAGCTCCAGAGGCTCCTGCTCCAGGCCTGTGCTGAAGGTGGCATCGCAGCTGAACTAAGCACCTGGCTATCTGGGCTTAGGAGTCGAAGCCAGAAGGACATGACACTAGTGACATCACAGTGTGTGCTGTTGGCTACAAAAACTGGTGTGCCTTAACAATTCTAGCCCAATGGGCCAGTCAGCTCAGGCTGACCTTTGATTCTGAAAGCAGTGTACTTGTAGGGCACGTGGAAGAACTGGTTAATAGATCTAGGTTCAATGGGTCAAGAGAAGCAACCATGTGATTATTCTTTGTGAGCAGATGACAAAGGTGAAGTGAAAAAGCTGGTGCAAACTGCATGATCCTATGCTCTTTAAGTCTTGGCAAAAAGTAGAACCAAAAGGAGGTGAAAATGGTTGAATGTAAATAACCCAAATGTAAACAACTTACACAGAGCCTTGAAAGTACAAAAAATTACTCTTTTGTTTCTTTACCTGCAATGAGTGGCTTAAGGGGCACTGTAACAGTCTTCCCTTTTCCAATGGGAGCATTGACATAATCCAGGAACTCTGATTCAGGGCTGGATGCATACAGGTTGGCTGCTTTACAAGTGTCTATTACAGAACCGCCACCGACAGCGATGTAAGCATCAAACCCTCCCTTCTTAGCAAATGAGATAGCATCTATGAAACTTGGAAGAAAAAGAAAATCAGAAGAAGAGCACCAGGCTTCCAAACTTAACTGTTAATACCAATATACATGCCGTTAGTACAGAAGCATGTAGAAAACAAAATTATGAGAGCCATGAGAACTGAAACAGGTATTTTGGAAAGCATGCATTTTCTAAATTTTATGAAAGAAATGATACCTCTGATCAGTCGGCTCCACCCTGACATTATCGTACATTTGAAAGTTTATACCATTTTTTGCAAGGGAATTCAATACCATTTTTACTGGGGGGAGCTTGCAAAGATTCTTATCTGTCACCACACAGACTTTTCTAGCGCCCATATTCTGCAGGTCCTACAATGGAAATAAAAGAAACAAACAAAACCCCCGGTATGAAATCTAAACTAGATTATTTAAACCTCAATCTAATTATATTAAACAGTTTTGTATAAAACATTGAGCTATGGTAAAATTTCAAAATCACAGTTAAATAAAACATTTCTAGCATACATGTAAGGTCATAGAAAAAAGATGTAGTTCAGAACATAGATGAATCTTAGAGCCGAGGAGCAATATAAAACACTGAAAGTATATTATTAACAGTCCCTATGAATGAACAGCCAGCAAGCCAAAACCATCTAGGACTATTAAGATTACAGAAAAAGATATGGTTTAGATTTCATTCAGTATTTCCCAATTAAATATATTTACACTATCAAGATGATCTAAAAAAGCTATACCAGGGAACTGATATATCCCAGGAGTTTGCAGTATATCTATTAATGCAGTATCAAAGGCCCAGATTAAAAAAGATAATTATGAGCCCAACTTAAAACATTAATTATTTTGACATAGTCTGAGAGGGAAGAGGACCAGATGTATTTGGGGAATGAATCTAGGTCTCACAAGCAGCACATTTATTTATATCAATGAAAAAGTATGATAACACAATACCAAGCTATGTGGAACTTCCTAGTGTAAGGCACTCTTGTAAGAGGCCAAGTTATAGTTATTCTGAGAACTAAACTTTGAGGATGCAGACAGACATAGCAACTGAAATGTTTCCACCTTTTCAAAAAGGAATCTTTCAGCCATGGGATGCTAGAGAAGGCAGCAGCAACCTATAGCTCCCTTTTTCCATTCCTGCCTTACCTCACAAAGATGGGAAATAAATGGGAGGGGAGAGCAGAGACCCCAGAGTAGAGAAATAAACAGGGGCAGGAGCTCCACAGCCCTGCAACCAAGTGCTCCCAGTCCCTGCAGGGATTAGGTATGGAGTGTCAGGGTCCCAGTTCCTGGGCTGGGGAACCTGCTGCTCCTTCCCTTAACTTCGCTTTGGGTTCTCTACTCTCACCTCCAGTCCACCTCCCATCCCCATGAAGGGAGGGGAGAATGGAGATGAGGAATACCTCATTTAAAGAGGTACTCTTTTGAAGCACTTCAGCTGTTTTTGGAACGTTTCAAAGGGCTTGCATGTTTGCAAAGCTGGCCCTTTGAAATGTTTCAGCTGCTGGCCCAATTAAAAATATGCCCCAATAAAAATCATTGCCTTGCCTATTTCCTGGACCATCATGTTTACAACATCACTTCGTCACTACCTTCAATTGTGCATCTTACCCCATGTGTCTTTACATCTGCAAAAGTAAGATCTGAAGAATTTAATGCCACATGAATAAAGTACAGATTGCTGTAAAAATATATAAAAAATGTAAAATACTTACAATGATGTGACTGAAAAGAATATGAAAATAAAATACCACTTCAGACTTCACTGCAGTAATTATCACAATATTATTAACTATCTACATAAAACTGATCAAATTCAGTTCTTGCTAGCATTGGCCAATAAGAACAGTTTTAACTGTTCATCCTTAAACAATACCTTAATTTAAGCCATTAATGTGTTAGAGCAAAGAGATAAAGACTGCAGACTCATCCTATATGGCTGAAAGCAATGGAAAAAAGCCTCACTTCAGTGGTGTAGGGTGAGGGTTCAAAGTGAGGTAGGCTGTAAGGACTGCATCCAATAACCACTAAGTTAATGGAATGTTTCCTATTCATTTCAATAAACATTAGACAAGTCTTAATAACACAGAGCACACGTTTAGAGATACAAGTTTAAAACTTTGTTTCTGGCAGGCAACAGAGGTGTAGGCCCATTATATTTAAGTTGGGTTAGATAAGATTTCTTTTCTTTCTCCATCTGTCCACCTTCTCTATATAGGTTGCAGTTTGAGGGAGGGTTAGGAGTTTCTTTCACTGTGTATGTACGATACTTAGTACAATGTAACATGGAACCTTTGAACCAACTGTAAATTCAAATAGGTTAGAACAGCTTTAAGTAGGGGAAAACACCACTTGTATTTTTCTTGATGTCTGAAAAGACAAGAAATTTCCACAGAGTTTCTAAGTATTGTTTTTAAAATATTACAAATGTACAAATATTTACAAATGTCTTAGTAGGACTGAAGGCTGAGTGTTTTCAGCCAAAAAAGGAATTTTGACCATTAAGAACAATAGATTATTTTGGTTTAAAATGGAAGTTACAATACTACTATCTAGGCACCACATTAAGACAAATAATAATAAAGCCATCATCCCCGGATTTTCATTAGACATTTGTATATACTTAGCTCATACATTCTAGTTATTCATATTATAAAAAATGGTATAGTTTCAACTTCATTCATAGGCTATATAGCCTGATGTCTTGTAAAATGGATATTTGCTGGTAACTATCAGTATTTTTCTGGAATGTAACATTTCACAGATTAAAGATGTATAACATAAAAGCTTACCATGCCAATTTCTTTAGTAACTCCTTCTCCGTATCTGATATTTGAAATAGCCATCTACAAAAATATTAAAGAACAATTTTTTTTGAAAATGAAGAAATTGCATTAAGTTCCCAGTAGGTGTGATTCTCATTATTTAATAATTGACATCTTTTTATAAATGCCATTTTTAAAAACATCACATTTGTAATCATAATGTACTTATTTATTAATGTACCTCAAATGCATAATCTGTAGTAGGCTCCAAAACAGCATGTTCGGGAACTGGAATGGAAATTAAATAGTGAAATTAATAGAAAATGTGTTGATCAAAACAAATCTGGGCTATAATTTTAAGCAACTGCAGTTAAGTGCCTTCTTTGCTTTAAAATATATGGTAATTTATAACATGCTTATAGATTGCTCCCTGTTTGTCATTTTGGTTGGGGTTTACTTGTTTTGGACCTACTTATGTTACCCTTCATCATATCAAACATCATTTCTTCATAGCAATACTCCCAGTTTCATTTGCTAGTTTAAACTAACTAGATAGTTTGATATATCATAAAACTTAAATTTAAAAAGTTTAAAAAGGTAAATTCTATCTTCCATGAGCTGAACAAGTGACCAATAATTTGCATATATTTATAGTTAAAATATCTGTTAAGTTGGAAAAGATTCAACAGACTCATTTTAGGACTACCTAGAAGTATATGCACAATATTTAAGGTTACCAATGAAGATAATACGTAGATGTAGATACACAACTTTCAGGACAGCCCTCATGACACATATGTAACATTTCACACAGACATACACGGATAAAAGGTACCCTTTGTTTATAAGAGAATGATTAAAAGTGGCTATTAGGCTTTCCTAAGTCCCTTGCTTTGCACTAGGCCTGAAGTTCTAATTATTCAGTTATCTTACTTTCCTTTGCCCAATCCTTCTTGTACAAGCTATGGAAAAGCTTTTCATGTTGACAGATTTGTCAGAAAATGTAACCAACTGTCTTAGAAAGGTCAAAAAAGATTTACTGCCCTCCCTGCTCCTGGTGAAAGATCACGTCCAGCCTTCTGTCTGGTGTACTCATTGATAATCTGGATCCAGACCCAATAGGGGAAGCCATAATGAGCATACAGGCCCTTTGGGGAGCACTGACCTACAACAGTGACACACAAATGCATTAGGATCCTTTATGCACTCTCTATTCAGACTCAGGGCTGCTGCTGTTTTCTCTTTTATTTCCATCCCTTGCCAGGCTCTATGTGATTGACCTCTGCTAGTGTTTGAGTCTGCTGTAGTTTGAGTAATTAATTTGACTGTCTGAAGATGTGTCCAGACCACTTATCTTGCTTCTTTTTCATGGTACAATAGATGCCCTGCTGTTGTATTCTTCAAGCAAGCTTAACCTTCATTAAGAACGTTATTGTACTTAAAATTGTACTGTTTCCTCAAAATGCTGTTGTGAAACATTGGCTGTTTTCAAACAGAAGTCGCTATGAATTTAGTCCAGCCTTATATATAAATTGTATCAATTCCCTTTATATATTGGTCCCTGCTTGGTCTTTTGTAAATCAATGTTTGATTAGAATTTGCTCATTTTGAACCTACTTATGTAACCCTTTATCATATCAAACATAATGTCCTCATAGAATAGCCACA